TTATTTTGAGATTTTTGTTTGTATCACAATTCAACTTTTAGTCTGAGTTTAAATCACTGTGTGATAAATCCTTCCAATCTGATAAATGTGCTTCGGGGCAGTTGTAACTCATTTATAGAAATTCTTTGATTTGAACTGTAAATAGACCAAAATAATAGGATAATCCGTTACTAAGAACATAATGTCATGATTTACATTCATTCTTCACAATTAAGAGGCATCCAATCCTACAATTTCATTGGTCGAGAGCACTTTGCTATATTCTAAAATAGGTGTGAAAGACGATTTGTTTTGCAACAAGCAATCAATTTTGTCACATTATCTAATCCATTCTCGAAACTTAATCCATGCCTCATATATTGATCAATTACTTACAGATATAAACTTCATCGAGTTCTTCCAAATATCTTGTGTAGCAGAAATATTGGTCGGGCTTGAAAAAAAAAGATTAAATAATGCATTTACTTTTTATAGACATATAATAACAGATTACATTGATATGCTAGTCGAATCACAAAAAATAAAAAACAACGTTATATATACAAAATAATGTGCCTTATTTTAAAAGTATGTTAATATTGTGATAAAGGGATCATAAATAAATAAAACATTATCTATTTAAATACATCAAAACGAAGATAATCTATCTTTACTAACTTATCCTTTGCGAGATCTAAGTGTCTACACATCATATATAACGTGAATAGAAATAAGGAAATGTGGTATGAGTGCCAATGACACAACTCTCCATCCAAGTCACAATGTGTAAAAATTAAACAATTATAGGCATTTTACACGGAGCCTTGGCTCACTCCGAGCAGCAAGCTATAGAGGGGCCCCAACATGACTAGTGTAAAACATTTCAAACAGGAAAACCAACGGTCTAATCTGTATAAAAAAAAACCTATTTACGCGTGCATTGTCTGAATGATAAAAAGGAGATGCAGGATTACCGGCAACAAGTTTGTGACCCCAAAAGATCAATCGTAACTACTCGACCATTCTCGCTATGTATTGTAGGCGTAGCGAGAATGGCCGACTAGTTACGATTGCCCAAAAATGGTACTCAGAATAAAACCTTATGCGACTCCTGATTGTATGATACAAGTTTATAATTATTTTAAAACGAAAACTTAACCATTTAGGTTTAGAAAATTCAGACTATTTGAAAAATGAAAATCTAACAAAGCGTAGAAAATATATTCAATGTATTAACAATGGACCCATTGAAAAGTTGCCTTTCCCATTAAATGAAAAAGACGTGTTTTTTAAACTTTTGTCACATGGCCATATACTTTTGTTTGGTTGCAATAAAACACCACCATTTCTAGTAATAGGTATTGCTACCCATGTTTTCTAGGTCAATATTTATTCATAAAAAAAAATATAGAACACAACTGGTATCCTATGGAAAATGCATTTTTTTAACTCTAACATGGTTATTTGGAGACATTATTTTCTATTCCCATTCCAGTTTGCACCTTTAAATATTGCTTACTATTCCGAAACCCGTGACGTTACTCTTGTTTTTTACGTTTTCTTTGTCATTTGATGGCTTATTTGGTCGGGTTTGATTTGTATCATTCTAGTTTTGTAAATTGTAATTTCAGGAGTAAAAGAAAACATTGAATATGTCTGAAAGTTTTCTTAGCTATTGAAATTAATTAGCAGTAGGTCAAAAACATTTTACATCGCACAGCCGCTTACTTTGTTGGATTTTGGAAGAGTTAAACCGATTGATACACGTACCGCCAAAGAGGGCAAAGGACGTTTGAGTCTTTTTACACTAACAAGAAAGGATATTTGCGCTCCAAACTATGGACATTAGCGCTGAAAACACTGCGCTTTCAACTCTGATACACATGTACTAAATTGACATAACATTTGCACTTTTACCTATAAAATCTTAATGATTTGTAATCATTACACAAATAAAAATTAACTAATATTAGTACAATACAGTTCTTTACACACGATAACTATATTCTTCTTTTGTTCATTCTATTGCCTGAAAAGTCTGTGGAAATCTACCATCTTTGTTTATCTAACTTAAATCCTAATCTCTACCATCTTGTTTCACTATGGTAGAGATCAAAAATTATTTTTTAAACCAACGGCTTGGTCTACATGTTGACTTTGAACAAAGAGGCAGTCATTAGTACTCTCACAGGAATACAAACCGTGCATGTGAAGTATAGGAAAATGGTTACACAGATGTCTTCCAGCGCTGATAAATGAGTAGGGAAATCATGAAGTACAAACACTAAAATGTTATGTTGATCAAGCGCGAATGTCTTGTAGAAAAAACGCAAAAGTCTTGTAGAAAAAGCGAAAATGCGCTTTTTACAAATATCACAAACGAGATGTCATATACATTATACATTAGCATGAAATAAAACGGATAATTACATCGTAGAACACAAATAGATACCTACTTCATTTATTTTAATGGATGGAAATAGCTTCATTTTATAAACTTCCTGTCCATTCTCTCCATAATCAGCTGTTATATATGGTATCTCCCTCACAGCTGTTACTACAAAAAAATGAAGATACAGTTATTACCAGTGACGGCGTCAGGATAAGGAGCGGTAATTTGTTTTTTCGTCCATTGGCATTTCGTTTTCGCCAAAATAACCTCTCATTTGTGCAAACAAAAACATTTCATTTGCGCCAATTATACAGGTAAATAGTAAACATATTAGAAGTATATTGAACAGAGACAATACATTAAAACCACAATGGAAGCAATATAAACTGAAGTAAAAAGTCTTCATTTACACAAAATTTGTAAGCAACGGTTCGAATAATGTACTCATGGCGAGCACGTTCGCCTCTTAAGTATGTGCATGCTATACTGCTCCAAAAGATAGTCCGTCTTTTTTTCTTTCTCCCATTTTCTTACAGCAGCCGCTGTTCACGGGTCTCATTGTAATGATTGTTGTTGCGTGATTATTCTTTACTAAGTCCAAATAAATGAAAATGTTTGGATGTTTGAAATAAAACCGCTTTTTAAAATGTGTATGGAGCGATTGTGATCCGTTGTTGATTCTATTTGAATTTGCAGTATAGGTGCAAAAACGTGACATGTGAACACTTAAGAGTTATAAACCGAAGTCACTCTCAGTTTTGCATAAGAAATAAGAATGAACTCTCTTAATTACTCATGGGAAATATTCTACAAAATTGCTTATTCAGGATACGATGAATACTTTTCCATTATATTTTACCTGTTGAATTGCGCAAATGTAGTTTTGATGTTTGGCGCAAATAATGTATAACCTTGTGGCGCAAACGAAACATTGCATATTGTAAACATTGCGCAAATGCAATGAGACCATAAGGAATGTAGAGCGTACCCTTTGTACCCTTTGTCGTCAGAAAATATAAAATCTCATATTTTTCGCGATTTAGATGATCCTTTTTTATCGTGAAATCGTCCAAAAATGTTCGCCTCTCTCCGCATGGTACTAATTAACTTTATACTATATATACTCCCCCATTAAAAAATCCTGGTTCCATCCCTGATTACACCATCGTTTTACTACACGAAATTTAGAAGCATTTTATCGTAGACAATGGTATGAATACTTTTGTATAGACGGTTCAAGAAACATATAAATAACTTGTTTGGGTGCAAATCAACAAAATATTTCCATACATATTTCAAAAATGAAAACATATCTATAAAATATTTGTTTAAAACATAACGCCGCTTTCGTGTAAAATTCCTTACAACATGGATAGATTCACAAACTTTCACCCAATCAAAAACAACTATATTACCTTTTTCACCGCGTGAATATTTTTACAAGTTTTTTATTCATTAAATGCTATGAATATAGACAACTGTTGTCAAACAACTGCTGAAACTTATCTGACAAAAAAATATATTTAAAATAATAATAATAACACTTTTTAAATGTTTCCGGAGCGCTTTTTCTGCATTTACTTTATAAAACTTGCTTTGAAAATAGAATTATTCTTATATATTCTTATCTATTGCAGGTAAAACAAAAAGCCATATAGTCAATTCAGTCATATTTTGAAAGTCTGACATAAACCCCAGTTTACCTATTATGAAATGTTTGAGAGAATAGAGTTCCGAGAAAACCGCATCCTTATGTTGATACGCAAAAGACACAAACAAACAAAAAATAAATTAAAAATACAGGATACGAATTATTTTATTGTTTACCTTAGTTATGATGTTAAAAATAGAACAGAACAACGTGAACATCAACAATGATCAAATTCATCAATGTCAAATTTAGTAAAGTTTACGATAACATATTTTTTGGGGATACTTTGTCGTATTTAAAAGTATGATAGCCCTTTCATTCTAGTCTTTCTTTTTTTAATAGAATCTTTTCAATTCAAATTTGAGATACAACATCTTTAAGCTTAAAAAAAGACGCTTCTGAATTTTGGGGGATATGAAATATTTTCAATTTCCTTGTAGATTTTGATTAAAAATTTCTGTTATATTATAGCATATCGAGCACCCTTTTCAATAAGACTTTTCGCTAAAGTGTACACATCAATAAACAACTTGTTCACTAAATTTATCGAGCACCCTTTTCAATAAGACTTTTTGCTAAAGTGTACACATCAATTAACAATTTGTTCACTAAATATAAAAGGGAAAATATACAGGGTACTAAATAATATGTATTCATGAGAATGAATTTGTCAAAACACAGTATGATTATATGTCTTAAAATTTTAGATTTAATTTACGAATTCCTTACATCTACACCAAGAATAACTAGGATGTCAGTGATCGTTAAAAAGCAGTAAAAAAGGAAGTCGTACATGTAAACAAAAACAACATCAAGCAATAAATCAAAGCATTACTATTTCGTAGAATCATATGATTAAAATTTCACAGAAATACCAATTAGGTAGATAACCACCATGTGTGTCATTAATCATCGTGTTTTTATCCGTATTTTTTGTAGAAATGTTGTATATATAAGTATAAACTTTACCAATATTGAGCATAATCTACACATCAAGATAAACAGTGCATTGAGGCTGATTTCATAGTGTGTTCCTATTCTGTTAACAATGAATTCCAGATCACTGCTTTGTTTTTGTGCAATTTTGATTTGTAAGTATATTTTGACTTTTTTTCTACGATTACTGTAAAAAAAAAACCAATAAAAGAAAAGTTGGTTTAAAAATTATTTCTGACTTGCAAAATTTCAATTAATTAGAAAATACATCCTGGTTAAAAGCACTGGTTCGATACCGCCGCTGGTGGACCGTTAGTCCCTGAGGGTATCAATCTATATCATCAGCTCAGTAGTCAGTTCTTCATTACTTATTTACTATTCATAGATTAAGAAATGATTAAGAAAATAAGGTTTCAATTCCCTCAGGCAAATTTAACCTTTAAGTTAATGAATTTGACTAATTCTGTTTAGTTTTTTTGGTCATATACCTCCCTAACCGCCTCGGTGGTCTCATGATAGCGTGTTCGCCTCGAGTGAGTAAGGTCTTGCGTAGGGTCATGGGTTCGAACACCGCCTGAGTCGATACAAAGACTTTTAAATTGGCATTTGCAGCTTAAGAACGCGACATTAAGAGGTAAGAGCAAAGACTGGTCGGCTAGGAGTCAGAAGAATGTGTCCTGGTAGTATGACATGCCTTTCTACGGACACCTTGTGAACTAACACGTTTAAAATCCGGCTTAGAGTGTCGATATTGTACAAAGCAGGGATCACATTCATATTGCATTAACCTATTCTCGTCCTGAATATGCATTTAATTTGCCACTGGACGTTAAACAGCCACCCATCTATCCGGGTCATCATATATATAGCTCCCAATGTTGCAGCGTATTTACGCATCCCTGAATTTCTTACGTTTAGGTTTAGACGTTCTTAATGAAGGTAAATCAAGAAAAGCGCCTCGGACGCACGAAATCTATAAAGTGTTTCTTTTATTTCATAAAATGAGTACTTTTTTAATTTTTCAAGTTATATAATTAACTCTACTTTAAACATTTTACGTACAACCATGTTTTATATATAGATAGAACTGCAATTGTAGATTTGAACTTAAAGTTTGAAATGCAACTTCATTTTTCTAGTATTATATACTAGAAAACATTCTACTTTTATATGGTACGTGTTGAACATTTTTTATAGTTAATGTAATTTACTTAAAAAAAAAATGTGAACAAATTATGAAATGATAAAGTCCTAAACCAGTACAAAATCTTTTTGTAATGAATAAAAGGTACAAATATGGATCTGAAAACTATGATTTTAAAATTCTAAAGTAGTACAACATAACTTAGATGTGAAAACACATTTATGATAATTATTCAAAACATTCATGATCAGGCTATAACATTTTTTTTTCCAGTTGTTATACATGCTGTTAACTCCGTTCCACTGGGTTTAGACAATGGTTTAAGGAAAAAACGGGAAGCTGTCCCGTCTGTTAAATCCGTCAACGTCGATTTAGAAGATGGTTTGAGGAAGAAACGTGAAGCTGTACCGTCTGTCAAATCCGTCAACGTCGATTTAGAAGATGGTTTGAGGAAGAAACGTGAAGCTGTACCGTCTGTCAAATCCGTCAACGTCGATTTAGAAGATGGGTTGCGAAAAAAACGTGAAGCAGTACCGTCTGTCAAATCTGTTAATGTTGATTTGGAAGATGGTCTGAGAAAGAAACGTGAAGCCGTACCTTCTGTCAAATCCGTCAACGTCGATTTAGAAGATGGTTTGAGAAAGAAACGTGACGCAGTACCGTCTGTCAAATCTGTTAATGTTGATTTGGAAGATGGTCTGAGAAAGAAACGTGAAGCCGTACCTTCTGTCAAATCCATCAACGTCGATTTAGAAGATGGTTTGAGAAAGAAACGTGAAGCAGTACCGTCTGTCAAATCCGTCAATGTCGACTTGGAAGATGGTTTGAGAAAAAAACGTGAAGCTGTACCGTCTGTCAAATCTGTTAATGTTGATTTGGAAGATGGTCTGAGAAAGAAACGTGAAGCCGTACCTTCAGTCAAATCCGTCAACGTCGATTTAGAAGATGGTTTGAGAAAGAAACGTGAAGCAGTACCGTCTGTCAAATCCGTCAATGTCGACTTGGAAGATGGTTTGAGAAAGAAACGTGAAGCTGTACCGTCTGTCAAATCCGTCAACGTCGATTTAGAAGATGGTTTGAGAAAGAAACGTGAAGCTTTACCGTCTGTCAAATCCGTCAACGTCGACTTGGAAGATGGTTTAAGAAAAAAACGTGAAGCAGTACCCTCTGTCAAATCTGTTAATGTCGATTTAGAGGATGGTTTGAGAAAGAAACGTGAAGCAGTACCATCTGTTAAATCAGTCAACGTCGATTTAGAAGATGGTTTGAGAAAGAAACGTGAAGCTGTACCGTCTGTCAAATCCGTCAACGTCGATTTAGAAGATGGCTTGAGAAAGAAACGTGAAGCAGTTCCGTCTGTCAAATCCGTCAACGTCGATTTAGAGGATGGTTTAAGAAAGAAACGTGAAGCAGTACCGTCTGTCAAATCCGTCAATGTCGATCTAGAAGATGGTTTGAGAAAGAAACGGGAAGTAGTACCGTCTGTCAAATCCGTCAACGTCGATTTGGAAGATGGTTTGAGGAAGAAACGTGAAGCTGTACCGTCTGTCAAATCCGTCAACGTCGATTTAGAAGATGGCTTGAGAAAGAAACGTGAAGCAGTTCCATCTGTCAAATCCGTCAACGTCGATTTGGAAGATGGTTTAAGAAAAAAACGTGAAACTGTACCGTCTGTCAAATCCGTCAACGTCGATTTAGAAGATGGGTTAAGAAAGAAACGTGAAGCAGTACCGTCTGTCAAATCCGTCAACGTCGATTTAGAAGATGGTTTGAGAAAGAAACGTGAAGCAGTACCGTCTGTCAAATCAGTCAATGTCGATTTAGAAGATGGCTTACGGAAGAAACGGTAAGCCTTAGTTATATCTTGCCCTTAATGTCGATTAAGAGTAAAGGCTTCAGGAAATTCATTAGTTTCACTTTTGTGGATGTTTATCAAAATGAAAATAAAAAATGACAGAGGGTTGAATTTATTAAAAAAAATCAAGTTTCATACTTGAAATATTAACTGCTATGAAATAAGATGAATATCGAATATCTTAATACAGAAAAAAACCTGTGTAAGAGAGATTTTTTTCAATTTCTGTTAAATATAAATCTTAAAATGAGCTGTATTAAAAAGTGTTATTTGATAACTTTTACGGTTTTTACTCGGTATTTCAAATTTCAATGTATGCGTATTCATTTCATATTTTTTTTTATTCTAAATGAGTACGGAAATTGAATAAATGAGTGTGCTTGTAGCTATTGAATGCCACACAAATGCAAATGTATATCAATGTACAATGTACTTATATGTATCAACACATGTGATCTCGCTATTAAATTTGTTGATACGTCAGCATTTATGTTTATCGATTAATAGTGTTTTTATTTTGTTTTGTTGATTGTCTTTCTTTTTGTTTTAATTTGCTTGTTGTTTTTTTTTTGGGGGGATAATTTTTGTTTGTTTGATATTGATTCTTGTATGTTTATCCATTGCATCAGTCAACCAGTTGAGCTAAATGTAATGATTCTTGTCTTATAAATATGTGAAATCATCGAAAATCTAAATCAAATAAAGTCATTCTGAAAAAAAATTAATATACCTTTATAACTACCAACAATATTCAACAAGTATTTCAGATGGGGAGGGTTTGGCGCCAGCAAACTAGTTCAACCAATCCACATTCTATTTGTACCTGTCCCTAGTCAGGACCCTATAGTTCAGTGATTTCGTAGGTTCATGTCTGTCATATTTGTTTTTCGTAAATTGTTTTGTTATGAATTAGGCCGTTAGTTTTCTTAATTGATTTGTTTCACATTTTCTATGTCAGGGCTCTTTTATAGCCGACTATACGGTATATGTTTTTTCCTCATTGTCGAAGGCCGTACGGTTGCCTATAATTGCTTACACCCACTTCATTTGAACTAAGGTGGATAGTTTCCTCATTGACAATCATACCACATCTCCTTATTTTTATATAGAAATGTCTAACTACATATGAATAAATGAGATGTGGCGTATACGTCAATTAGACAGTAACCAAAAAACACAAATACTCAAAAAGAAATCTAGAGATCAACAATAGACAGTTGTCTGTATGCAGTACCAGATCATACTCAAAATTGGCCAGACTCATGATTGCAATTTGGAATAAGAAGACTCTGTCTAGATTTCTGTAGTATTGAATCTTAAAATTTCGATAATATAGAAAAAAAAAAACTAATGCGTACATTCTGTATTACAGAATTCAGTTAACTTGTATTCCTAATTTGAATGGTCTTGAAAGAAGATTTTCTGCAATAACGACAAGGTTTTTTATATGTTTTTTGCACTCCTTTCTTAAATCAAATTCTGAAGAAGAGTGTACGATAGTAAGGTGATATATAATATATTACACTCTGTAAAAGTGAAAACGTCGAATTTTACGCTTTTAAATTCGGCCCAACAGTCCCCTAGTTTCATAAAGCCTGTCCCCTATAGTTTTACCAGTCTTGCCGCAAGTGTTTCAACACGTTAGATTTAAGTTACATATTCTTAAAAGGGTTTTATAATCATTATTTATTTATTCCCCGAATGTGACCTACCAAATAAGACTTATCATCCGGGTCGTACTTACATGAGCAATACGACGGATCACACATGTTGAACAGGAACTGTTTACCCTTCAAGAGCACCTGAGACCATCACCCGGTTTTGGTGGAGTTCGTGTTTCCCTGTCAATAGTTTTCTATGTTGTGTCTTGTATACTGTTGTTTGCCTTTTGGTCTTTTCCTTTTATTTTTTTGCCATGGCGTTGTCAGTTAGTTTTCGATTTATGAGTTTGAATGTCCATTTGATACTTTTGCCTCTCTTTTAGAAACTTATTGATCACAAAAATGATACATTGATCAATAAACCATGAACATGTGGTCTTTATCAGATGTACCCCAGCAAACGGATATTTACGGTGTACACCAAATATATTTTACATATCATAATATTTGGGAACTGATCCAATCACCAAAATTTAATGCTGATCTCCAAACCATGAACTGATATCAAGGTTAGGTGAAGCCGATCTTATACATGTATGATATTGTGAAATGATTCTATAAATCAGATACAAAAGACTTATTTCGCACAAAAAATTAAAATCAAATAGCTGATAGCTCTGAGGTCGAAGGAGATACATAAAAGGATAACTTGTATTACAATGAAAGCAGACCACACCAACCGATCCTGCTCTGGGCCAGTATTGCATTCGACGTAATTTTTTCTTCCGAAAATAATATACTTTAATACTCATGTCTCCACCAAAACAGATTGAACTAAATACAAAAATGTCCTAATACTGTTGATCATCAAATTAAATGTTCTATAATTCCATACATTGCACCTCACCATGTTTAACTTGAGGTTAGCAAATATACCAGGAATGTTTAGTTTTTCTGTCGAAGGTAGATACTTCACTACTGTCAATCATACATTTGCATCTATTACTTTTACACAAAATAAAATACCACTTTATAATTGTAAATGTGTTGTCTCTGAAGTGTTTTCTTGAGTTACCTTCATCAGGAACGTTCATACACAAAGAATTGAATAGCAAATGCAGAGCTGTTGAAAAGAATTTCTTCTTATGGAGCATTTTGACTGGCACTCAAATTTTTCCGTCCAAAATACATTTCCATCAGTCCAATCAAGGATACGTAAATAAAAGGGAGATATTAAAACATTATAACACTAGAATCTAAAACACTAACGTTAGTGCTTGTTTTTTTTTTAATCCTAACTGTACATTTATGTCTCTGTCTTTGTTTCATAAAATGATGTAGACACTATTTTTTACAAACTTGTAACCGATCATGTATACAAATCGGTGTCAATATGATGCATGAAAGTTATAAAATTGTAAAGCAATGAAACGGATACGGTAACACTTCTAGGCCAGTTCAATGATTTAAGACTTGAAACAGCCGACAATATAAGATTTCCGAAGACTTGAAAGACTACTTCCACCAAAAATCATGTAATAAAAAAACTTATACATGTTCTATGCAGTCATTAACCATACAAATTAGGCTAAGACAACAGACATATACAAGATGGAAACTTAGACCAAAAGGCATCTGCATACCAAATATGTATTATCCAGCTCATATACTCTCTTAGATATAAAGCTTTATACAGAAAGTTCACACCAGACTCCATTGCCTCTGTACTAGCATCTCTATGTGTTTGACTTAATTTTAGTCATGACATCACTGATAACAATTAAGAGGAAACCGAGAAATTGAAAATTAGATACACTGTCAGAAAATAACATTTCCGTCAGTGGGAGGAAGTGACTGTCAAAATTTTTCACAGAAATGAAAACATCATCTTTCAAGAAGGGGGTTTGCAAAACACTTTTAGAGTTCAGTAAAAATTACTAAAACCTGCTCTAACCATTACCTCAAATCAGCTGTCTTGTATAGCATATCTTTTTTTCTAACAATGCCTGCATGTGTAGAAACTAACTGACAACTGGCTTCCAACCTTCGTATTTTAAATTCACATATATGCCAACATTCTTTCTACATCAATGCATAAAAGGATAGTACCAAAAATATTGGACAATAAACCAGACCACACCAATCAACAACAACCAACTCCTCTTTCAATAAATAAGATTTGAACATCAGTAAACTATACACTGTAGCCTCATTTTTTCATAAACGAATATCATTGTACTACAAAATAATTCAACCCTAGACAATATTTAAAGTATCTTTTTTAAGAAATTATTCAACATATAATATAAAGATTTTCAAAATCATAACACAATAATCTAAATTGTATAAATAAAATCTAAGGTAGATTAAATCAAATTAAAACAACATTTGATTGAGGTTTACAAATTAAGAAAAATTTCAAGACAATGTCTGTTTCGAAGAAGTTCTTTGCACAGTTAACTTCCTTACTATTTACAATAACTTTTTATTCTCATATAAGCTTCAAACCAAACATGTATGTGACTTGCGAAAAAAACTATGAAAGGGGAAGGTTCAAAACTGTCTTATAAGAGCCTTAAAAGTAAAAATGTGCTACACTACTCCAAAAAGAATTTATAATATGGACATTTGTAATAATTTAATACTTTGTTAATACTTAAGGTTCACTGATTACAGAGCGATTCTTTTCAAACAAGGCAATATTCAAGTTTTTATGAAAATATTCACTTTCTACACAATTTATGATCTGTAACTTTTATTAAAAATGCTGGTTTCACTCTTTGACTATATAAATGTGTGATGAACTCAGCCAGATCTTATAAAATTAATCAATTTTGTAAGAGAATGTGCCAAATCTTTCCAAATCAAAAACAATTGAGACATAGCAGAAATTGGTTTCAAAATGCATTTCCATGTGCATAGTTATGACACCTTCATGCCAACATTATCAAAAAAAAAATAATATCAAAACAGTTAAAATTAACTTAAATATAATGTAACAAAATAGTTTTCAGTAAATTTATGTCTGTAACTCAAAATAGCATTTTTATTACATTTCAGTCCCCAAATTGACTGTTGTAAACCTTCTCCTTTCAAAAGTAAAATTACAGCAGATATACTTGAGATCCTACATAGAACAATGAAGCAAGCTTTGGTTGTTTGCCTTGTAGACCATATTACCTTTGTTGTGTACTTATTGTAAGAGTAATAGTTGTTGATACACGCCAATCAACTCCATGGCTGTCAGACACAAGGAAGTCAGAAAAACCTAACTGACTTTTTTTTTGTAAACTTATATTTACAAAGGTGATAATGGAGAATTCATGGTTCACTTTACAAACAAGCAATCATTACCTTAAATCTCAAAGTATATACTAAAAACGTTCAACTGTAATAAATTAAACAAGGTAAAACAAATACTTTACATATCACAGTATTCTTTGAATACAATTACTTATCTGATTTGCATAGGTGTTTATTCTACAGATATTTTTTTCAAATTTCCAGAATCTCCCTCTCCATGTTAGCCCTCACTGGGCTGGAGCAAAAATCTTGTTATTTAGGAGTTGTAAACTGTACATTTAGAATGCATTGTAGTTTTACTGTTTACCCAATTGCAAGAGATTGATTTCTTTTGTAATATTTCAGAAGGAAAGATTTTCTTATACAACAGTGTAAAAGTGGAATACTAAAAAAAGGTGTTGAGATATTCAAAATATTGAAATGTTTTCTATTTCATGAGGGCTAGTAATGTGTGCATGATATATACTTTGGTCATTTCAGGAGGACTGTATGATGTGATTTGATTATTGCTCTTTTGTCCAGCAAAATGCAGTACATTCTTTAGAAGTATATTGACATAATAACCTTGAACTCTTAATATCTATCATGAAAATACA